CGACCCACTCCCATGTCCATGGTCCCCCCAACCACCCCGGTTCCTCCCGCCTTCCCCAGCAGGTCCTCCGAGTCAAACATACTCATTTATCCACTCTAACAATTCCCACGTAAAAATTTAAAACATATAAAATACAAGGGTAACAATTACTAAAAGTGGGCCATTCATTCAATTCCAGTCAGCTCCCATACACTCAGCATTCTATTTAAAATTGCGCAGTTATAGTATATAATAATAATAATAATATGGGAACAATGGAGGAAGCGATGGTTTGCTCCTCTCCCTTCTTATGACCTGGGGAAATGTCCTAAGCCACCAAATCAAAAGTACGTAATATATCCGGTGGCTGTAGGCAAGCGAGATTAAATATAAGACTCCAAAGTTCATAAACGACATCCGTATAGTCTTGTCCCACTGGTGGAGGTTGGCGGGCTGTATATTCGAGAGTCTCTTTCCCAAGGATATATAAGGGCCCCAATGTAGGAGACCAGGAGAATGTAGGAGAAACATTAAATTAGATTATCCTTGTGCAGCTTTTCAACTCTAGAATTCTATCTATGAAAGACTCTGGCAGAAAAAAAATGTCCTCCTTTATCTGATAGTCTTTCAATCCTACTTCCAAAACGTTACTAAGAGAGTCATACTACATTTAAGAGGGAGAGATACAATTTGGAGAACTGTGAAAATTACAATTTTTACTGCACACCATGATTCTAGAGATTCAGAGTTAGGGGAAGGGAATGATCAGCAAAGATAATCTTATCCGGTAAAGCCACTAAACACATAATATCTTTTTTTAATTGTCCTGGACCACAGCCAAGTCCAAACTTTATTAAAAACAAGATCTTACATTTGAGGTTTACTTTCATATATGTAGTGCTGAAAATGGGACTCATAAATCTTTGATTATCACAGAAACAGATTGACGAGTCCTTCAATTTCCCCAGACACCTTCACATTTTGAAAATAAATTTATTCTTTCAAGTATAACCAGAGAATCTTTTGGTCTATATAGATTATGCTCATTGCTAAACAAGATTGTTTTGATTCAGCATTCCATTCTGCTTATTTCTCACTTAATAAAATATTGCATTTAAAATATTAAGCTATTGAAATGACAACTTTATTAAAAAAAATTGCTGTCCATCTTGTTGCTAGGCAACTCTTAATAGAAATCCATCTTGCTGATCAGCTGATTAATGAAATATCAAGGTGGTCGTTAACAAGCTCTATGTATATTGATATATCCAAATTAAGCTTCAGGTAACCCATGAGCTTTAGATCTTAGTCTGTGATATTTTTCCTTGGCCATGTCATCATGTGAATAGATTGTTTCTTCCAGGTCAAATAATTATGTGGGGTAGAGTAGAGAGCTGGGCAGAACATGAGACCAAGCTGAATATTGTTTAGTAGTGAGCTAACTTAATAATTGCTATATTTATGTACTGATTGTCTTCCACATTGGTAGTGAGAAGGGAGAAATCCAACTAAGAGCTCACAGTATTTTCAGTAGAATAGGGCCACTGAAAAGTGGAATCTTTTAAGCAGCAGAAAGAGGGTACCACCCAGAGGTGGTATTCAGCCGGTTATTTCCGGTTTGGGCGTACTGGTAACGGTGGCTGCAGAAGGCTCCGCCCATTCGCCCCAACATAATGTGCAACCTTCTGCGCATATGCAGAAGGTGGCGTGAATGAGCAAAGCAAGCAAGTGTGTGCTCACATTTGCAAACTGGTAGGGAAGGGAAGTGAGTCCCACCGCTGACTTCATTCTTAGAAATGAAGAGGCTATGACTGTCTAGTTCTGATTTGCCTCAAGAGGGAACCTTATGTTTGCCTCATACTGATGGTTGTTCTGGTGGCTCAAACCTGTCCATGGACTAGCACAGTTCTCTATTAGTCAAGAAGATAGATCAGACTGTTTCCTAGGGAGGTTTTTAATGCATAGCAACTTTTGTGTCCAATGGTGTTTTTAGGTCATTCTAATTTCTAGTTTAGGTTCTGTGGATATTCTATTTTCCGTACAGGTGCAAATAGTCATTGACTTACAACTGCTCATTTAACAATGGTTGTAAATTACCACATCCTTGGAAAAAGTGACTTATGACCCATTCTTGAAGTTATGATTGCTGCACCACTCCCATGGTCACATGACTGAATTTAGGCACTTGGCACCTGGCTCACCTTTATGATAGTTGCAGTGTCTTGCCATCATGGGATCCTGATTTATGACCTTCCCAACCAGCATCCATTGGTCATTGAATGAGAAAAGAACAATATAAGACATCATAAGACATAATGTGTGGACATCATGGAGAGAAGAATGGTTGATAATGATAGGAAGATACTGAGAGTTACAGAGATTAATATTGCTACAAACTAGATTTAGTTATTTTTTCTATAATCGCTTGTCTTCTTTTGCCCTTCACATAACATTGCTTACTGCAAAAGAGAATAGTTTGAGGTATGTATGTATATAAGTCAAATGCAAATGTGTGGATAAAATCATATCTTTTTAAAGATACTGCTAAATACGCTAAGGATTTTTTCTGATCTCCAGCATACTTAGAAGAACTGTCACTGTATTATAGGGTCCACAGGGCATGTGTATAACTATTACATTTTGTATTCAACTGTAATCTCTAAATACAAATACAAATCAGACAGCTAGAAAGAAAAAAACACTTAATTAAACTAATATAAAACTTAAAAACTTCAATGCAATCTTTATTTTACACCAAAAAAAGACACAACGGAAGGCACAAAAATGTGAAAAGAAAGTAGCCTTGTTACCAGTTGATTTTACCAAGCCTAGAGAAATGTTTCTCTTCCTTTCTATTATCCTGTTCAACAAACACAGCTTAGAGGCAGAGCTAAGCACTTGTTCTTTATGCTCAAATTAATCATGACCTTCAGTTTTTTTATTTGATTCAGGCTAGCTTGGAGAATGATGAGCAATCAATTACTGGAAATATTTAAAAAGAAGTGGACATCAACTGTCAAAGATGATATCCAGTATTGCTGAGTTGACCACTGAGGTTGATTAGATGATCACCAAGATTTACCCTACCTAGAGTACCTATATAAATGTATCATTCTAAGAGATAACATCCATGTATTTTTCAATAGATACTGCATTAAAAGTCAAAGAGAGAGAGACTCTTTCCAGGCCCAGCTTCTGCTAGCCACTTGTTTAGAGTACAGGCCCAGCTTCAGCTAGCCACTTCCAGGCCCAGCTTCTTCCAGGCCCAGCTTCAGCTAGCCACTTGTTTAGAGTACAGGCCCAGCTTCTTCCAGGCCCAGCTTCAGCTAGCCACTTGTTTAGAGTACATACATACACTTTGTTTCTCAACTGTCTCATTTAGGAACCATTCACAGTTAGGACAAATAACTGTGATGAAAAAATAACTTTACAACCAATCCTCACACCTACAACCTCCACAGGTCTTTAAAGCAAAGGAAAGCTGAAGTAAGATCATAACCACAATCATGGCTTCACTTAGTGACCACTTGCTTAATGACTGAGTTGCTGGTCCCAATTGTAGGAATTCTGACTAGCATCTTCCAAATGCACTAAACTGCAACTCTGATCATCCCAGCATCATGACCACTGATGCATGCAGTAATATGCCTATAAGGAATCCTAAAGCTATTTTGTTAAATCTCTTCATATTAGTGTTCCAGAGCTAGCCGGAAAGTCAATATCAGCAAGATCCAGATAACAT